GGGGGGTATGGGTGGTTGTGGGTGGGTGGTTGTACAAGGTGGTGTTCAGCACCAGGTATATTTGTGGATGGTGTTCAGTACCAGGGACAGATATGTTTGTGAGTGTGTGTATGTGCATGCATGAGTGTGTTTTGTGTGTGTGTGTTTACTTGAATGTGTCTGCTGAATAACAATGTGGGTGGGGCTTCCACTTACAGCTTCCAAACATTATGCCTTTGCCTTGCAGATGTTACCTGTCTAATTGTGGACTTACCCTAATCTCAAAGCAGATCATATGGTGGCAAGGTGGTATCGATTGGCCAGAGGAGTGTTCATTGCTTTCAATGGCTATTGGACACTCCTCTGGCAAATGGATACTGCCTTGCCACCGCATGATCTGCTTGGAGATCAGACTCACCTTTGCAGCGGACAGGAAGACCCCATCCGGGATGTGTCTCACGCGGCAGGCGATGACAGCCAGCGCCACCCCGGGGAAGATGTAGGCGTTGTTCCCCTGCCCCGGGGTGAAGGTGCGCCCGTCTGGGAGGGTCACCGGTCGGAAGGGACTGCCACTGGCAAAGATGGCTCTGCCCTGGGGGGGAAATGACAAGTAAAGATAAGTCTCCACCAGACTAACACCATGGGTTCAATTGAAATTTAGGAAGGAAAGACATTAGAGTAACATATACTGGCTTGAAGGGACTTCCACTGGCAAAGATGGCCCTACCCTGGGGTGAAAATGCCAGTAAGGGCCTGGTCACATACGTTGTATAATCGCAAACTAAGGGCATTCTTGGCAGTAGTTGTGAATGTGTCCTGCAAAATTGAGCTGTCTTGATGCTAAAAAGGTTGTCTTAGATCCTTGTCGGGTTTGGTTCTGTCACAGCCTAATTGAAAATTGTATGGTATCACAATCATAAGACTGTCTACTACAAATGGGATTGTGGCATACCAACAATCTTTGCTGGCAAGTACATGTGTAAAGAAACTGCACATGTCTTACACCAACTTACTATACTACATTTGTGGCTGGACACAAAACTTAACATAGCTAGCTGTTCATCTATAATTGTTTACTAGTATTAAAGGACATCTAAAAAACCATATATGAAAGTTCACCCACATCAGTCCAGACGTAAGCCTGTTCGGCGGTGCACTCAGCTCTGCTGGTCGGGTTACTCAGGGCAAATATGATTGGTCGGTCGTTGAGCTCTGCCATCATTTTCACTACCGGCTCTGTGAACAGGCGACCTGCTCCAGCAACACCTGGATGTCAGAAAAAAGGAGTTGTCTTAAACTATATACATGTACAAACATTTCAACAGAGCTTCTTAATGCAAAAGACAATTTGCTATCCCCAATCAGCATATTGGCAGAATGTAATGTGCCTGTGCAAAGCCAGAATGTTTCAAGATTTTCCTTGGATGTTTGGTCAACTTTGCATCAGAATTTTGCCCTTTGCAGATAAGATTTTTTCTGACATATTTGAAAACTACAGGATGTCATCCTTAAATATGCAAAATACAACCATAAATGAGATGTGCTGTCAAAGTGCTATGCACAAGACATTATGGGTTTCACACAGGCACAGCACTTTATATGAATCTGGTGATAACTACATGTACATTGTAACAACATTATAAAGCAAAGAAAGTCTCACCTATGATAGCAGAAGGTTTGAGCTCCCTGACACAGGCCTCTACACTAGGCAGATACTCATGTTCATGTGCATATGGAGTCTTAGGTCCATCCACCTTTCCCTGAGCTCGGCCCTGAGTGTACAGTACAGTAGATATATGGCAGAAAACTGAATAAGATTACAGGAGTGCAAATATGTTTTAAACTGCCATTTTAAAAGGATTATTATTGATACCGTATCTAAAATTTAGAAAAGGATTGTAACAATAGAGGCTCTAGATTTGTAGCAAGATTCTAAACAAGTTTTCACAAGTTAAAACTTTTCCACTTCCATTTCGAATTGAAGCAATAGGCAGTGTCTCCACATGTACAATCTTAGGTGGCAAGTTGGGATTGGGCTTGTGGGTTTGAATCCCTTCTGCAGCCTTTACTCACTGTTCAAGACTGGTGTGTTATGCCTAAAGGCAGTTCAGTTACCAGTTAGGCAAACAAAGAAACAAATAATTTTCTCCCCACCTTACAGACCAGTCCGTCCTTGTCCATAAGCCAGATCCGTTCACACGCCTCCTCCTTAGACAGTCCCTCGTCCTGCATGGCACTCACTATCAGGCCTGCGATGCCAAGGGCAGCCTGGAGACAAACGGTGGTTAGCATTCACTGGCTGTTCTGGGCAACTTCATTTAACATATGCCTGTCCTTAGTGCTGAACACCATCCATATACTTACATACTTGTCACACACATGTATGCACACATTGACAGACACACCTGTCCTTGGTGCTGAACACCATAAACACAAACACACATACTGCATGGCACTCACTATCAGGCCTGCAATGCCAAGGGCAGCCTGGGGACAAATAGTGGGTGTGTTAACATCACACACACACACACGCACGCACGCACGCACACACACACACACACACACACACACTACATGGCACTCACTATCAGGCCTGCGATGCCAACGGCAGCCTGGGACAAACATCAAGCAACATGGGGTCACCGGTATTAGCATTCATGGGCTGTTTGGGGCAACTCCATTTCACATATGCCTGTCCTTGGTGCTGAACACCATCCATACATACATGTATGCACACACGTATGCACAAATTGACAGACATACTTGTCCTTGGTTCTGAATGCCATCCACACACAAACATACCTGTCCTTGATGCTGAATGCCATCCACACACAAACACATGGATATACCTGTCCTTGGTGCTGAACACCGTCCACACAAAGGCAAATACAACTGTCCTTGGTGCTGAGCAACATCCACTAACTAACATACCTGTCATATCATACACACAATGATACATTGACAGACATACCTGTCCTTGGTGCTGAACACCAACCATATGCTAACATACCTATCATCCACGCAAGTGGACAAGCTATATCCCTCAGAAGTGCAGTGTCTTTTTAACCACCGCTATTTTAACTACCGTCTTTTTAAATTGTCAATGGATTTTAGTATGTAAAATAATGTCTGTAGGTATTGAATTGTTTTTAAATTGTGTAAATTGGACGCAATTCAGTGATACACTGCAATGTTCAATAAAGTGATCTTGAATCCTGAATCTTGAATCATGAATAGCTGTATGTGTACACAACTATGAATAAATCATGAACCAACAAGTGCATAATACACAGAGACACACCTGTCCTTGGTGCTGAACACCCTCCATACACCCACACACATCCCCACACTTCTCACCTCTCCTGCTCCCACAAACAGAAACTTGTTGTCCTGCATTTTCTTCCCCGTCAGTCTGAGTGAGCTCAGCAGACCGGCAGTGGCTACTGATGCTGTCCCTGCAACAACAGTACAATAAAAAATCAGTAATTCTTACGGCTCAGTGGCAGCTGGCTGGTTTGAGTTTATTTGGATCCACACTTAGCATACATATATACAGTAGCTATTCTTCCTGTGGTGCTTCACTAATAAACACAACCCACATTAAAATACACAAAGCATAAATACACTGACAACTTGGTGGCAGCAAGTTCCATGATAGTTATATGGTTGATAACTCTGTATCTGTATGGCTGGCATAACTGCCCTTCAGCATAACACACCAGCTTCTGTATCTGTATAGATAGCCAGTATAACCGCCCTTCGTTGTAAGTAACGCACTACACACATGCATGTACTGTCCATAACATATACATTGATTTGATTTGATTTACTGAAATCATAACAATACAATTCATGTACATGGGGGATACAGGCAGCTATTGCTGGTGTTGTGTCCCACACATAGAAACAAATATAGGACAGGCAATACTCATTTTCACTTGTTCAGTCAGGAAAGTACATGGTACCTTGTATATCATCGTTGAAAGTGCAGTATCTGTTCCTGTACTTTGCCAGCAGTCGGAAGGCATTGTGGTTGGCAAAGTCCTCAAACTGAACCAGACACGACATTCTGTACCTAGAGAAACAGCAAGGAGAACGAATTATTACCTAAGACAGTGGAATGTGACCTGAATTGAATGGTAAGAGACTGAAATCATAATATTTTTTATATGTGTAAAACTAGAAGGTCATAGGTACATACAATGTCCAAGTGTGGAAACTCTTTAACAAATTTTGACCTGTGTTAGACTTACATACAAATGCTAAGCGAGAGGAGATGAGATCGAGAGTTAATGGGTTTAATTCCTTGCATTCTTGGCTAGATGTTGTGTCCTTGGGAAAGGCACAAGTTTCCTCACTCCACCCAGGTTAAAATGGGTACCTGACTTCTGTTGGGGAGGTGAAACGGCGGTGGAAGGAAAGGGATGGGCTCTGCCTTCAAATACTGTGCTCTGGACACACAATGGATTAACAACCCACTGCCCCTATGGCCTGAAAAAGGCTAGGTGACTACCTATTTTACCTTTATCTTACCATTGTCCATGTCACTACCACACACTTACTTTGCAGTGATTGCCTCCATGAATTCATCTATCAGCTCATCATACAGCTCAGACCTCTCTCGCTTGTGACTCAGTCCGATGTACAGGGGGTCGTTCAACAGTTCCTGTTAAAAGAATAGTAGTAACAATCAAGCATTGACGACATATGAATGTAGAATAATGGCAGCCATCAAAAACTGTGGACATCCTGACTTTATTGGCTGTTTTTAGCAACTCTTTCTGGACAGTCATCATTGTCATGATCCTGTAGCAGGTTTCACCATTTCACATTCAGGGTGTCTTCACAATCAAAGCACCTGCAGTTTGTCACTCAACTGCCAGATGGTGCTGTTCACTAATGTAAAATTTTGACCCTCTAAAATGCTATTTCCTGCATTTTGAATGGGCAAATTTTGCTGGTAAGTCTTAGTTTAAAGACATCTCTTTCCATATCTTTACATGCCAAGTTTGTCCATCAAAGATAACAGATTGGGGAAAATTTTGTCCGTCATCAGCAGTAAAATTCCATCAAATGACACTTGATGTCTGGTTAAAAAGAAGTCAAAATCCAAGGAAACAAACTTACTTCATTGTCTGTGCCCACATCTATAGTGACAGGTAGACAGTGTTCAGGTTTGATCCCGGCACAGGCAGTGTACAGGGCCAGCTTACCCACCGGGATTCCCATCCCATAGCACCCCAGGTCTCCCAGTCCCAGGATCCTCTCTCCATCAGTCACCACTACAGCCTATGGACAAGACAAACATCATCAATTTCTGTGAATAATTTCATCAGGTCGGTGAATGATTGTATAGAATGGATCTTTATTCACAACCACTTGTTTAATAAGAGCCGAAGTTTCGATGACCGTCTGTCATCTTCATCAAGGCAATTATGACTGGTTCACTGTGCACGCAGGTCACTCAATTATGATATGATGAAGATGACAGTCATAAAAAACATTGGCTCTCATTAAACAAGTGTTTGTGAATAATTAACCATTCAGTTCGTCATGTCTGCAATATAACGGCCTTTTTTTAGCTCTTTCTTGTGTCATAGTACCCCCTTTCAATTTAGCCATGTTTCCTAAGTACTGTAATGGTTAGCTTTTCTGGGATAAACAAGATATGTATGCTGAAGATATCCTTTTATTTTCTAGAAGAGATCTAATATATCCAGTTCCCACCTTGATGTCAGGTTCAGGCCAGGAGTGCAGCATCTCTGCTATGTGTCCTCTGTCATGGATACTGATGAATAAACCTCTGGAAGGGAAAAACAAGACAAACTGAAATTAATACACACTTTGTACACATTAAATCTTGAAACTTTCACAGTGGTTATGTTTTCACAGTTTCCTCTCAAACTGTCGGTTTTCTTTGTATGACTATGTTACAGAATTGATTTAACTATGAATTCGGTTTTCCGGTACTCCAGCAACTGGATAGATTTTGAAAAACTATCCAGATTTCAAAATCTATCCAGGTACTTGAGTAACAGTTTTCTTGTGAAGAAATTTGTGTTAGGGATTATCGTGACCATTGTTAAGAATACAGCTGTCAGTCTGCCCTTAATTGTGTGGATGTCATAGTTCAGTTCACCCTTTCACCTGGCACAGCGTGAGTGGGAACCCTGGTCTCTACCCCAACTGCCCAGGACAAACCAGGCATGTACAACAGTACAGGAGGGCCTGCATGGGGGGGGTCCCAACAACACTCTACTCTTTTGAGAGCCAGCTACGTATTGCGCTGAATTCAGGAAACCTCTCGATTACGTTTCACGATAAATTTGAGGTTGCCACAACGCATTACGTATGTAGAATTAAAACAGCGAATCACGCTCTACGCAAAGTGCGACAATTATGCTCTACGTTGAATTAGAGCAGAAATTTTCAGAGCTGATTACAAACAATTACTTGCTACTGTACCAATTATGAATTACCATGATTTTGGGAGGCTGCCTACGGATCACAAAGACTAGAAAGGGGGCCCGCAAGCCCTTTTCCATAGAGCGTAATCGGCCGTTTTAATTCTACATAGAGCGTAGACGGACCGCTCTAATATTTTTGCGTAGAGCATATTTGGCGTTTTAATTCTGCGTAATGCGTTGTAGCCACTTGGAATTTATCGTATAGCGTAATTGAGAGGTTTACGAATTCAGGGTAGAGCGTTGTTGGGACCCCCCCTTGCAGGCCCTCTAGAAAGGCCTGATTACGCCTTATGAAAAAGGGCATGCAGGCCCTCTTGTACCACAGTACAGCGGGGCCTGACCCCAGCCCCAGGGGCCGGGATAATTGGGCAGAGAATGCTGAGAGGATTAATGATATCCCTGAAATTATACAGGCAGGTACAAGACAGATGGCAGACTCCTGCTATTCTCACTGAAGGCAACAAGTCCTAGCCTCTACCAGGCACCGCGGACCGCTGGAAAAATAGTAGAAATTGGCTGAAATAAAGGGATAGTATACCAGAGAAGATCCCGGGCCATAGAAGATCCAATTCGCTACCCATAAAAAATCCAATTCCATGGGTCGCAAATTGGATCTTCTATGGCCCTGGATTTCCTCTGGTATAATCCCTTTATTTTGGCCAATTTCTACTATTTTTCCAGCAATCTGCGGTGCCATCTGCTGGTAGAGGCTAATCGAGTCCCAGTACAATCAAGTCTTGAGTGTTCTTGGAAAAGCTACAAGGCGTTTTACAAAGATATTACAAGAATGATAAGAAATATGATCATGATATTCAATGACGTCTGATCCAAAATTTGATAAATCCTGAATTATATTCTACCGATTAATCAGAAGACTTGAAAAGTGATACAATAACTTAAAACATTCTATAGTTGGCTACATTGAGTAGCATTTCAGATGAAAAAGATGCCAGCCTAATTGTCAGATTTTCTGCCACAAGCAGTCCTTTATATTTGGGAATCACAGAAAGCCATTTAAGAATGCTAACTATGCCTGGTATTCCCCAGGTAAATATCCTACTGCAACCTTGTTAACTTATAATCACCGTGGTTTCCACAAGGGGTCACAGGGTCAGGGTATATGGCTTTGATGTTTGATGTCGGCTTTGTGGAATTTCTGACCTCATGGTTCATGTTACGTTAAAAGTGTGATGAATATTACACATCATCAAAATGATTGGCTGAAAAGTGAGTACTGTTAGAGTTTTGAAAAGATAATGTGCTTTGTCATGAATTTGGCTAATAGTATCATTAGATGTCCAAAAGCCTTCTATGAACTTTTTAAGGAAGTTTGGAAGTCTTCTGAACACGGGTTCATTATAGGAAAAGCATATTGTTTTTGCTCTGTTTCTTCTTCCGTTTCAAGCATACAAGGTCAATGATCAATGACCTGGACCACATGTCTGTCACCATGGTAACTGGTACATAGCAGACACCTTGTGGTGTAGGATTACATTGTACAAGTTGAAAGAAAGAGTTGGATTAGTGTCACCATGTACAAATGTATATGAATGTGTCTGAGTAAGAATAAACAGAGCAAATGTTACCTTTCTAGTTTCTACATTTTGAAGGGAAGTTACAATCAACCATCAAATGTAGAGTCTTCTTTATACAACATTCTGACTTCTATGTAAATTACATGTACCAGTAAACCCCATGTGTAGCCTTCTGCAGTACTAGTTCTCGTCTCTACCCTTGCAGGGTTCCAGAGCCTGATAGGTTACAGCTTGTTCGCTACACATGGTTTCTTCTTCCACAGAGAGGAGGCTCTTGTAGGGTCTTTGAACACAGCAGTATGTCAACAGTTTTTATAATCCCAGCAAATGTAATAAGTGCAAATATGACCTGATAAAATTTCAGATGATAAAAATACAACTTGTAAGTAAAACGCTTGAAGAGAGCTTGATTTAACAGAACAACGGCACACGGACATACAACAAGGTGTTACCGAATCCCGCAATCAGACCCTCCAACCTTAAGGGTGTGGACTCCTACCGAAGCAAGTGTGGAAGACTTTAGGGAGAGTCAGTCTGGGACCTTCAAAGGGAGGTAGTGGCTGGCCGACAGTGTTGGTTTTAGCTGCAAGAATCTTCAAACAACACGCATCAAAGCAGGCCTGGAACTTGGAATAACAGGAGAAGTGCAGCCTTTTCAGACAAGTGGGATCAACGGCACTTCAGGGAAAAGGTAAGAACAGAGATTGTTTTAACCCTATTGTACCTTTAAAATGCAGTTTAAACTATACAAAACCTTCTGAAAAAGCAGTGGTGCCTCTGGTATCTGACTTCACTTGGTTGGCAGACTTGTACAGTTGTTGTAAACGCAAATCAGAAAAGAGATTGTTTTAGCCCTAAGACCCTGTTGATACCAGACTTTCAAAAACCAGTTGAAACCAGTCTACAGTACTAAGTATAATAGTTTATACAAAACTTTATGGATAAGAAGTGGTGCGTCTTGTACATGTATCTGACTTCAGTCAGCAGTTTAATAGATGCAATTCAGGACAGTAAGTCTTCAAAGTTGGTATAAATTCCAGTGCAGTGTTGTACAGGGAAAAGTATGCGATGCAAGGACACCTATGGCTAAAGGTAAAGGCTTGCATGTCTGAACCACAGGACGGCCTATTTAGAATATTCAGGCCTATTATACAATGCTTCAAGCAAGTTTCACAGGGTTAGCAATGGTCATAGTTTAGGATAACGACTTGGAATTAACAGTAGAGTTCAGTATATACATTGTCACTGTTACTATCATGCTTTGCTGTTTCATTGACTTTAAAATTGTCTAAGATACTTATACATCATAATATTATTGATGGTAGACAAGACGTAAAATTAGTGGATGGTTTGATAGATCTTTTTTTTTTTACACACAGTATGGATGTTTTTATGCCAGAATTTGATACCCAAGCTGAAAGCAAGAAGGGAGCCAGAAAAATCTAGATTGTGTTTTAACTTTTAGTTTGCAAAAAACAGACATGGCAAAGGGGAAATTGGAAATTCAATGATCACCACCTTTCTAACTTTTCAAACGTGCCATAAACTTATAAACTTGAATCTTACTTCTGTTCCTCATCATCTAGCATTTACGGTTGCAGACTGAAACTTTCTAGACTCATAAATCAACTTTATGTGACTTTTACAACGAAGCTTCAAGCTGACACCATGGCATTGTGCTAACAAGTAGTCTATGTAATGGCAGACATCTGAGGACCCTTGTGTGCGTCTAGACCCCCGCATTCTTAAATCTCATCATGGAAGTTTTCACCGTCTTCTGGGACTTTTACGACAAAGCTTTAAGTTGACACCATGGCATTGTGCTAACAAATAGTCCATGTAATGGCAGACATCTGAGGACCCTTGTGTGCGTCTAGACCCTCACATTCTTAAATCTAGTTGTGGAAGATTTCACCGTCTTCTGGGACTTTTACGACGAAGCTTTAAGCTGATACCATGGCATTGTGCTAACAAGAAAAAGAAGTAGTCCATGTAATGGTAGACATCTGAGGACCCTTGTGTGCGTCTAGACCTACACATTCTTAAATCTCGTCGTGAGAAGTTTTCACCGTCTTGTGGGACATTCTGGCCGTGTTTGTGGCCTGGCTGGGAAATACAGACAACGTTTCTGTGACAGGATGACAGAGTGAGGAGACAGCAGGCCTTGTTTGTACAGACTGGTCCAAACGAGGTTGGAAAACTGCGCTGGAATCTGTCACACACCGTGGATGGAGAAGGAATCTTAAGATCTGACTCACACGTATCTGTTGAGGCTAAATTCCCGTCGGGAATGCACCCACGGAAATTCCAATCTTATCCCGTATAGTCCCTTTTACAAATGGAATCATAAATCATTGTATCACAGCTAATTCTTTCTCATACCTGTTGGCAAGTTGCCTTGACTGATTGGTTTTGTATATTACAATACACCAACTTGAAGGTATTATACTTAGTGTACAAACAGTGTCATTATGCTAATCTGTGTTCTAGCCAGTGTCAGTCTTTCCATCATTTGATGGAATTTTGATGCTAATAGCAGACAAAAATTTTGCCCAATACGTCATCTTTGACAGACAAAAATCGGCATGTTCAGAACTTCAGATATAGAAAGAGATGTCATTAAACTAACATAAGTCCATGGTTAGTAAATGTTTGAGTTAAAACTTTGCTATTTTAAGCACATTTTCTTCCAAACTTACCAATGATAAAAATGATGTTCCTGAGCAGCTGTGATTTTTTATCTGATTGTGAAAGCTGCCAAGAACTTCACGGCCAACAAAGCTTGGTTACAGGACATTAGA